TGGGCTTTAGGCTAGGCCGCTCGGTCTCCCCTATGGGCCGGCCGGTCTACTGCTGTGCCGCCTCACCTCGCACTTTGTCCATGGTCAGGTTCGTGGCCCATATGATCTATTTTCATCTGTTTCATTTTCCATTTCGAACCGAATTAGAAATTTTTGATAAAACAATTTAAAACCTGAGGAAAAGATTATTCCAGTCATGACTAAAGGATAGACTCACATAACTCTTTTCCTGAAAGTCTTGCTACTGCCGGGAACTTGTTATTAGGGACCCCATGTTACTTAAGTTGTTGTGAAATGAGATATAGTAGAATAATGACAACTTGATTCTTGATGTCTTGTTATTGGATATTTTTTAAAAAAATAAAAGAATAACTACACCTCTCCTTTGTGGTAAGCAATATCCCACTAGAGCCAAACATAATATATACACTAGGGAAACCTTCTACATATACTACTTATCATTGTGTTGAGTTTGGTCAAACCTTGTGACCCTTGTTGAAAAAATTATCATGCTTCCAAGATCAAGATCACATACACACCACATATATCTGCTGCTCCTACACTAGGTGTACAGTGTACGCAACAACATGTTTTCCATCCACCCAAAAAAATTCTACTCCTACACTAGGAATAGACACAAAAATATGTTTGTTAAGATAAATGCTCCAAGTTCTTGCAAAAGTCTCTCTTAAAGTTCCAATTGTAGAAAAAGAGGCATGGGCTATGCAAGAGTTAGTCATAAAAAATAGACAAATGTCCGAGATATCTAAAACAATGGGTACTCAAATGTCCGCCTGAAAAAAAGTGAAGAAGATATCTAAAACAATGAATAAGATAGTTCATGTTTTCTTACAAAGTGTTTTTCAAGTTTCAAACAAGAGGGATATGTTTCAAGGAGCATTGTAGAATTAGGTTAGCCACCATATATATTCCATACATATACACATCTTGATCTAAGAGTATGACATTTTTCTCCTTGATCCTTATTTTGACTTTATAATATATGCAATGCAAGTATGTTTTCATATTCATCCCTACTTAAGCTCCACATAAGCTTTAAACATAGGCAAAAAGTAGGCAAAGTCATCTATGCCTTGGTGAGGATCCAAAAATACTACATATATTGAGTGATTTGAGAGTACCACATGAGAAGAAGGTAAGCTATGTTTTGTTTTTCAAAATCTTAAAATATTTCTCCATTTGACTTGATTGAAGGAAGATGGTGATCTATTTTAAGTTGTTCCATTCTTCAACCGCCCAAAATTTCATGGTAGACACTTTGAATCTTGCAATGCATGTATGACTAGGAATAGTTTTATGTTGATGACTTGTCCTAAGGTTGTCTTGAGTAATCCATCCTTTTATCAAGGATGAGTAAAAGCCTAAGTGTGGGGGAATTTGTTGACAGTAGTTAACATTCATCACAAACCGTCAATATACCTTGCATAAATGATTAGAATAGATCACCAACTAAACTTAGGGGTTTTAACTGACAAATTCCACGAGTTTTGGTAAATCTATGTTTCTAGCAGGATTTAATCAGAAAACCGCCAAAGAGGACCTATTCGTCCAAAAAAATCGCGTAATTTCGTAGGATAAACAACGTGGGAAGACTCTAGAAGACTCCCAGGAGGCTCTCCACCGAAGCGGAGCCCGAGCCACTGACATGTGGGACCGGCTAGTCCCTGGGCCCACCAGTCAACCTCCAGCTACCTACGTCGATTTTCCACTGCCTCCTAGATTGCATCTACGCCGTTTATTCAGGTCGACTTGATCCGAGGGTCCAGGATGCTTCACGAGGCCTATATACATCTGCCTGTACCCTCCTCCAGGGCATGCAATGCATTTGATCCTGAGGGCCAGAAACCCTAATCCATATTTCCACCAGGATCAGAGCTACCAATCAAGAGAAAATTAGTCCTCGATAGGATCTAGTATTTTATTAGAGATAGAGAGATAGAGTGAGTGGGAAGAGTATTGGAGGAGTCTCGGCCTGTCGGTACTCTCTCTATGGCTTGTATCCTAGCGGAATCAAGTTCTTCTTGAGCTTGCTTCTGAGATTTCTCTGATAATCGATTTCTAATTCAAGTAAGCATCATGTTCATATTGTTCTTCAGGTTTACGACTCTCTTTGAGTACTTTAATCCTTGTAGCTTCTGGGTTAAAGTAGTATTCGTAGTGTAAACATGGTGCCTAGACTCGGTTACTCGTGGATGTACCCTACTTTCCGGATCAGTGGTAGTTCGCGAGGTTGGCTCTTATAGCCTCGTTGAATCCTTTATAGTCCACCTCTCGTTAGTAGGCCTAGCAGGACATTGTTGCTATAGGAAACATACTTTACCTATGTTTTCTTTAGTAATATCCTCAGAATTGAACAATAGAAAATAAAGCTTACCGAAGTTAGAACTAAAAGAGCTCTGCGATCTCCTCTATGCTTTTATTATCTAACCTTAATTGTGAAGTTGGGTTAAGTTAGATTTAGTTATTCTTACACATGTTTCCTCGAATTCGATATAAAATTGGGTTACTTCCGGTAAAGTGCTACAATGATATAACATATGTACGCTTGTGGATTATTCTACGTGCATTAATTTATACCAACAACTGCCAACTCTTCAGGTGACGCTTCGATGTGAGAGCGATGGCGACCTCTACCCCCTCCGGCTCCCTTCACCACTCGCACTCAGTGCCACCACTAGCATCGCGATCTTTGGCACCAACCTCTCGGTCACCCAGGGCGGAGTGTCAAGTCCAGTCCTCATCTCTGCCGATCTTGCCAACTCGGCAAGCATGTGCGCTTACCATTTTAGTCTTCAGAAGCTCACAGCTATTTCCCATTTCGTCGCCTGTCTATAGCTTTTCCGGTTACAAATATTATCTTGTTTTATTGGATGATTACAAGCACTATGTCTGGACTTTCCCTCTTCGACATAAGTCTGATGTGCTACCCTCCCTTCGCTCTTTCCATGCCTATGTGTGCACCCAGTTCTGACTGCCCATCCTAGCATTGCAAATAGATAACCGGAAGGAGTTCGACAATGGTGCTGCACGTCTCTTTCTTTCAGAGAATGACATTGTTTTTCGCCTTTCCTGTCTGCATACCTCTCAACAAAACGGCAAGGCCGAGCTGTCCTGTGCACTCTCAATAACTGTGTCCGCACACTCCTCATTCACTGCGGTGCGCCTCCCATGTTCTGGGCCGAGGCCCTCTCTACAGCCATGTTCCTGCTGAATCGGAGGCCATGTCTTTCGATTAGCCCTGTGTTGACACACACTTTAGATGATAGAACACAGATCGCTCCAACACAGTCACAATAAGCACAGGTACTGTGATCCGATACAATATGAGATAGAATCTGGGAGAAGGCAGCAAGCAGGGGAATCGATGCTAGGAGGAAGATACTAGAAGGTTCTAGAAGGTATTGGAAGCAGGAAACCCAGGTACAAGAGTGAGATGAGAGGCTTGGGGAGGAAGAAGAACAGTAGAAGATAGAAGGAGATGGAAGTCTTCTGATAATTCTTCGTTCCCCTGATCTGCTACTGCCACAGTACTTTTATTGCTCCACCGTTCTCTCGGCTGCTTGGGCCTTGTGTGAGAGCATGCGTCGGCCCATTGAGCCCAAGGCATATACTGACATTCCCGCCCTCTTTAGCTTCGGCTTGCCCCCAAGCAGATGGAGAATTTTGGCACCACCAGGATCCCAATAAAACGAAGAGCTCATGTTCAGAAGATCAACTCCGCTGCACAATCCACTTAGAATTGTGGTCTGTTCACTGAAAACACCACAACACTTGTGTTGCCTTGATTCTGGAAGGTTGACTAGCAATGCTCCATCAAGCAGCTTCCTGTAACCTGAGAGCCACATTATCAGGCTAGGATGTGACACGTCACCATATAGGTTGATAACATGCATGTCAATCAATATGTTTGAACGTGATGTCCATGAAGCAAGCTGCTGTAATCTGGTATGAACATATTTGCATGACTGTGGAATATCTCTTCTGATGGCAGTCAGAAATTTGGAGATGATATTGCTCATGTTGCTTTGCCCTGATTCCAGGATCAGTAGAGCACCAACTTGCATCAGCTAGACACCACAGTATACAATATGCACTGAAGAGGGATGCAAATAAATTATCCTTCACAAGCATCACCTGCTCGCGGCTGGTACTTCCAGGCTCCAACATTTCAGTAAGGCAACATATATCGTGGATCTGCTTGAACTGTTTGTCTAATCGCTGTGAGGATTCAATTGAGTTTTCACTGCGCTTGCCCTTTAGTAGCAACCAAACCATGGTGTCCAGAATGTCACGTGGCAGCCAAAGTGTATGTTGAGAAAATGCCTTGAATAGAACAAACGTGAGCTCAACCGGCAATTCCAAAGCAAGATAATGTCTGAACAACACTTGCACAAAAGCCTGCCATTGTGAACACATTACCACAGCACCCAACGTCCTTGCACTGTCCCTGGCAGAGATCATCCTTTGTTTGAGGGACTCCATTTCCACAAACACACATGAGAATGCGCACTAAGCTGGAGATGGCCATGGTTGCAACCCAGCCCGCGTTACTAGTAGGGTACACAAGACCACCACACTGTCCTTTAGCTGACTACCTTCAAGCAAGAAACATCTAAAATTTCCACCACACTTCCGCTGTACTAACTCTTGAATCAGCTCAGCAGCAACAATACCCGCTGATATCACCATTATACATGTCAGAAACTCCTGAAGTGCAGTAGCTGTTACACAACTGATGTCCTGTCGAGGGTGAAGTGGCCAGGGAGGTTTCCAGCAGACAGCCCAACTCATTGAAGAGCCACTGCTCAAGAGGAAAGATGGCCGTGGACTTGGTCGTATAGCAGCATTGTCACACGTGAACTCAACCTGCACATGTGGTGGTGGCCATGGTTGCTGCTCAAGCCAATCAGATGAAGGAAATAGCCCCGATTGCACCAAAACCACATCACAGATCCTCCCAAGCACTACAGGCACATCAATCAAGTTGCAAGCACAAAGTTTAAGGAAATCACCTCCACATTTGAGCAGCTCCCCATCCAAAACTTCACGCTGACCGGAAGAACCTCAGGCATGCCTGCAATGATTAGGGACGCAGAAACATCACCACCAGAGTCGACATCGAAGGTAACGATGCTGCACACTACATCGATGGCAGTGGGCGTATCAGCAGCACGGGTGGAGATGATGACGGGCGCCATGGCCACAGCAGACGCCGCAGCAGGTGCCACCACGTCGACGGCACCTCCCAGACATTTCGTCGAGCGGTTGGCGGGCGCGTCATGGTTGACGGGGGCGATGGAGAAGTCCGATGGGGTCGCCGCTGTACCGGTAGCGCCAAGGGCGAGCTCCATGTTGATGGTGCTCGTAGAGGAGGCTTGGAGCAGCGTCGGAAGCGAGCTGGTCGTGGAGTCGAGGACGGCGCGAATCCATCCGCGGTTCTCGGTTTCGAGCGCGTCCCGCTCGACACGATGGACGTCGCCGGTGCTGAGATGCTCAACTCCGAACCAACATGGGTAGCTCCCCACGGGCAGCATGATGCGGCAGCCAGAGCGGAGGTCGACGGCGAAGTTCCCGGAGCCGGCGTCGGACGTGTAGGCCCGCACATTGGCCTGAAGCGACGCCGCGAGGAGGTGTTCCCACACGGAGAAGAACTCGGTGTTGCCGTATGCGCTGCCGGAAGCGGAGACCGCGGAGCAGAGATTAGAGTGGCCCGGGGAGTCGATCGGCGTCACGGGTGGAGGAGGAGATGGCGTCGCTGGTGCGGGCGTGACCGAGGCGGAGATGTGTGGCGGCATGGGGTCGAGGCCGAAGACGTCAGATCCGCGCTCTATGGGGTGCGGCGTGGGGGCGTTGAGCGCGTCGACGAACCACTGGTCGGTGGAGGCGGCCTCGTCGGCGGTGCCGGAGAGGACGGAGCCGAAGGCGGTGTCGGACGCGGAGAGTTCGAGGACGCGCTCCTCCGGGTGTGGGCAGGCTGCTCGAACAGACAGGGCAACGCACTGTGCCGCAGAGGGCGGCTCGCTGTTGTGGATGCGCTCCACCGTGTCGTGGTTATATATATGGCCACGCAGCCCGAGCCTGTCGGCCCGGTCTAAGGCCCTTTTTTTTTTGCTTGGCCCAAGCCTGGCCCGGCCCGACGGCGAGCGGACCCGGGCTGGCACTGCCCGGAGGAGTAGGCCGTGCCTGGGGCTTACCCTAGGCACGTGGGCCGGCACGGCACGGCCCGCTCCTGTACCACAGGCCCGTTGGCGCCTGGCCTCCCCCCTCCCCCTCCTCACTCCCCTCTCCATGGCCCAGCGCTCCCCGCCGTCCCCGCCCCACCTCCCCCCTCATATATAAGTGGGCACGCCCGCGGCGGCTCTCCCTCACGCCTCACCCCGAACCCTAGCGCCGGCGCCGCGGACGCCCCCTCCCCTTCCCTCGCGCAACCTCTCCTCTCCTCGCAGCGCCGACGGCCGAGCGTGGACGCCGACGCCCCCTGCCCCTCCCTCTCCTCGAGCGACGCCACTGCGGGAGCGAGTGCGCCGGCCCCGAGCTCTGCCCGACGCAGATCCGGTGCCAAGACAAGCTCGTCGGTGGGCGGCGGCCACTGCCATCTCCGGGCTCGCGCTGCCTCCTTCCTCGATCCCGCCTCCACCAGATTTGCGACGCCCGTCGTCCTCCTCACCATCCCTCACCTCCACGGCGGCGCTAGATCTCCATCATGGATTTGGCCACGCTGGGTCTTCTCCACTACGGATCCGGCTCCCCACCCTTGCCTCGACGCTGGCGCGGCGCCTCCTCCCCGTCCCTGCCTCCCTCCCTCCCTCCCTCACTCTCCCTCGGCGGCGAGCAGCTAGGAGCGCGTGGGCGGGCAGATCCGGCGACTCCCTCCCTTCCTTGTTTTCTCTCCTCTCCATCTTGCTCACCCCCTCTTCATCTCCTCCTCTCCATCGCTTGAGGGAGGGCGTCGCCTGCGCAGCTCCTGCCCCCGAGATCCGAAGCTCCGCCGCTCCTGGCCCCGGCGGCCACCTCCTCCTCGCCTCCCCACGCAGCCGCTCAGTGGGCCTCAGGCTGGCACGGCCTGTGAAAATGGCTGTGCTTCTCGGGTCGGCCTAGCACGGAAATCGACCCATAGGGCCATGCCTGGGCTGAAGGCTAGGCCCGTGGCCCTATGAGGCACGGCCCGGGAGGCACGGTGTGCCATGCCAGCCTGTTGGCTACCGGGCCGTACGGGCATGGGCCTGCGCCGTGCCGGGCCGGGCTGGCCCATTGGCCTTCTATGGTCATGGTCGTGCGGCTCGAAGAGGTCGCCCCAGTTGTCAGCGGTTACGGGCTGCGCCGCGCTGTACTCCTCGAGGGTGCTGACGCCAAGCGCGACGGTGGCATCTCGCTGCTCCCCCATGGCCCGGGCCCTGTTCCGAGGAGCCAACCGCTGATCCCACGCGGTGTCTAGATCGGCAAATCGCCGATCCCACTTCGCGTTCTGCTCGGCATACAGCTTGTCGAGAGCATCGAGGATGAGCTTGGAGTCGAGAGGACTTATGTTGACCAAGAACCCCGCGAAGTCGACGGCGGCAACTCGTTGCTCTCGCGCGGTCGAGGGGGCAGCTTCTAGCATCGGCGGCGATGGCGCGGTGAGGAGGCTGGAGGATGGGTCGGCGCCGTCAGCAGCGTCGATGGCGAGCCGCTCCGGGCAAGCGAGGTCGGACTTGAGCACGGAGCCAAGGCACGATAATTTGGAGCCGTGGGGCAGCACGATGGCGACCTTCTGGATAGCGTCGAGCGGCGCGTTAGGGTCGGTGGAGATGACGAGTGCGTCCATGGTGACGCCGCCCGAGTCATCGTTGCAGGAGGAGGGAGTGCATCCGCGAGCAGGCTGCTGCAGCTTGGCGAAGAGCTGGTCCCAATGAGCATCGGACTTGTCGAACCTTTGTATGGATCTCACCCAGGAGGAACTAGGCAGAAGGAGAGAGCACGGTAGGAGATTCATGGTGCTAGGGCTCCAAGAATCGACGATTCTGATATCAATTGTTAGCAGCACACACTAACTGCTCCTCTACACACCGCCAGATTACAGCACTCTTCGTGTATTCGGTGCCTTGTGTTTTCCTAACCTTTCAGCAACGATCGCTAACAAGCTCGTCGTCCGTACGCAGCGTGTTCGTGGGATACCCTGTTGCTCACCACAGGTACCATTGCTTCTACCCCGTCATAGTGTCACACGCCACATCATCACGTCCAGGCACGTGACCTTCGACGAGTGTGTGTTCCCCCTTCGGTCTTCACCGCCACCGCCACCGAGCGCTCCACCGCCCACTATGGCCCTCGACAACGAGTGCGCTCCACCACGCATCGACTAGTCAACCACAACAACTGCCCGTGTTCAGGGCACAGCGGTGCCTCCACCGGCCTCGCCCACTTCGACGCCTACAAACTTCGCACCGTCGCCTATGTCCACGACGCCACAACTGTCTATGCCCAGCGACGCAGTCGCCATAGCGGAGCGATCATCAACACCTCTGCCCCCTGGGACTCTAGCCCCGCCTAATCCTGCGCGCAACATCCTATGACGACGCGCTCCCGGTCTAGCATCTTCAAGCCCAACCCAAAGTACACCAAGACTGTGGTGGCCACGTCCACCTCGGCATCCCCGTTTCCATCCTCAGCGCGATCTGCTCACAATGACCCCAACTGGTGCGGCGCGATGCAGGAGGAGTTTGACGTGCTGCAATGGAACCGAACGTGGACACTAGTCGATCGACCACCCGACGCACGGATCATTACCAGCAAGTGGGTGTTCAAGCACAAACTGAAGTCCAATGGCTCACTCAAGCGCAACAAGGCACCGTGGGTCATGCACGGGTTCAACCAGCGGCTGGGGTCGACTTCGGCGAAACATTCACCCCAGTCATTAAATCCGCAACGATCTGCAATGTTCTGACAATCGTCGAGATGAAAGGATGGCCAGTTCGGTAGCTCGATGTCTCCAACGCCTTCCTCCACAGCCATTTCGAGGAACACATCTATTATCAACAGCCTGCCGGCTTCAGCAACCCAGAATGCCCATAAGCGGTGTGCGTCTTGTCCCGCTCACTGTATGGCCTCTGTTAAGCACCGCGGGCGTGGTTCGCACACTTCATTGAGTTCATCAAATCCCTGGGTTTCACACAAACCAGGTCCGACTCCTCGCTGTCCGTCCTTCGGACGTCGCTCAGCACGGCATATCTCTTGCTCTACGTCGACGACATGTTCTTGACAGTGTCGACCAGCAATCTGCTCCAGCACATCATCGTCAAGCTCAAGGCCGAGTTCACGTACGGTGAAAGACATGGGTCCAGTGTCTTACTTCCTCGGCATCGATGTCCAACGCGCGAGAGATGGCTTCTTTCTCTCCCAAACTCAGGATGTTGAAGACCTCCTTGAGCGTGCAGGTATGCAAAATTGCAAGTCTGTCGCAACTCCTGCAGAGACCAAGCAGAAGACGTCCACCACCGCTGGTAACCTCCTCACCGACCCGACGTTCTACCGAAGTACGGCCGGTGCCTTGCAGTACCGCACCGTGACACGGCCCGGCATCGCGTATGTTGTGCAGTAGCTGTGCTTACACATGCACTCGCCGTGCGACGTGCACTCCACCATGCTGAAGCGCGTTCTGCGGTACCTGCGCGGCGCACCAGCCCTCGGAGTTCACCTGCACCGGATGTCCTCTCCGACAATCACGGCGTACTTTGACGCTGACTGAGCCAGGTGCCCAGACACACGACGGTCTACTTCGGGATATTGCGTGTTCCTCGGTGAAGCTAGATGACAGACGACAGTCTCCCGCTCTAGCGCCGAAGCCGAGTGCCGCGGTGTTGCTAACACGGTGGCCGAATGCTCCTGGCTCTGCACTACCCCGTTGACAAGGCCACCGTGGTCTTCTGTGACAACGTCTCCGCCATATCTATGAGTCAGAACCCAGTGCATCAGCTCCTTGGCCATCATCGAGATTAGGTCCTGCATGTGCCTAGCTTACAACAGTTCACCGGCATCTTCACGAAAGCGCTGCCAACATCGCTGTTCGACGACTTCAGAACCAGTCTTTGCGTCATCGTCTCAACGTTGGGGTGTTCTTGGGGTGTTGGAGAACACCCCAACGTCCACGACGCGCACGCCCACCACTGCAGCTCGGACTGCGTCCTCACGACTCCGCCGACTCGCCACGACACGCGCTCCGCTAGCTTAAGCAGTTAGGCAGCGTGTCTCTGTGTAGTAATGCAGTATAGATTGTGTTAGATCATATCTTTCTCTACAGTGAAGACCAAGGAGCTGATGCACTGGCTTAGCGTCATCGAGGTTTATGTTCTTGAGACCTTGTCGGAAAAGGTCACCTTCAAGAAAAAAACCTTGGGTTGCAATGAATAAAAATCCTAGCATACTCGAGCCTAATAAACATGCAATTTTTTCTTACATTGTTAGACGGTAATATTGATCTGCATATATTTAAATCAATTCTCTCAAATTGTAGAATTGAGTCCATACCTTAAACTAAGTTTCACCGTAAAATCCATTCCTTCCGTTTCACATTGTCGCACCGTAAAACAATTCCCTAAAATTGTAGATTTTGCACATACTCTTTCCTTTTGTTAATTTAAGTGTTGTGGTGCATGCATCACATGTGTTACTAGGTCCTTCCGTTTCTATGCACATTGTGTTATGGTGCGTCATAGCACATTGTGTTACGCTGCATCACACCGCAAAATTTCTGTGCATAGTAAAACTTACATTAACAAAAAATAAAAATAAATTCATGAATCGGACTACTCCCTCCGTCCCAAAATAGATGTTATTCTCACTTTCCGAGAAGTCAAACACTTTTAATTTTCACCGAATATATATAAAAAAGCGAAATTATTTCCTACTCCCAGGGAGTAGTTATTCCCATATCTATATCTGTAGATTTATGGTGTATATGGCCCAACGAAGTATATATAGACGAAGTATATGATTATACTACTAGACCATCTAGGATAATATGTACGTCAAGTATGCAAGTATACATGAAATATATGCACTGGTACAGAGATGGTCTTTACTTCCGGTGGGGAACCCCCTCTAGTCCCGGTTCCCCACCCGGGAGCAAGTATCCGAGACTAAAGGGGTCCTTTAGTCCCGGGTTAGGAACCGGGACTAAAGAGGGACCTTTAGTCCCAGTGGGTAACACCAACTGGGACTAAAGGTGCCTCCTAACATGCCATGAGGCCGGCACCCTTTAGTCCCGGTTGGTAATACGAACCGGGACTAAAGGTTTTTTTTTTTTTTTTCTTTTCTTTTCATTTTTTTGTTTTCTTTTCAAAATAGGTTTTCGAAGTCGTATTGTACGCTGCTAATAATACATTTATACGCGCGTATAGTATGTTTTGGTTCAAGCACAATGAACGTATTAAATCACACAATTCAAGCATAGAAATATATATATATATATATATATATATATATATATGCATCATATATATATATTTACATGCATGCATGCATATGTGTATTTTACATTATATTACTTTATGTGTATATATTACAAAAAATTGCATTACAGTTGTTGTGATATAACAAGTTTCCTCTTATCCTCTAGCTTGGCTTCCATGGCAGTGCTGGGTCGAAGTAGAACTCGCCCTTGAAATCGATGACCTGGTCATTAAAAAATCGGTTATAGACTCTTGAATTGCTTTGATTTGGTCTTGTTGTATGACCTTTTCCTCTAACCATCGAGTCTACAGGTTTGAATTAAAGGAAAATAAATTAATATATGTACATACATATATATATAAAAGACATAGTAACACAATCAATAATAATAATTAAATGAATATATAGGCCCTGTTCGCTTGTCTTAAATTTGGCTTGTTCGACTTGTTTTTCAGTCAGAACAGTGTTTTTCTCTCACAACAATTCAGCCGGAACAGTGTTTTTCAGCTAGTTTCAGCCAAAGTTCAGACCAGCGAACGGGGCCATAGTGTATTTTTAACGTACTTTGAGTCTCTGTGTAGGAGTTCTTTGGGAGACCTCCTTGATAAACTTGCAAACATAGTAACCACAGTAGTTGTTCCCCTATTTCTGCCTCAGACACCACTTTACGAGAAAAAGATTTGTCATCCAATCTGGTAATCCGGTGAAAGCTATATATTTAATTAATAAAGATGATGCGATTTAGGGGACTTACTTTCAAAGGGATTACATTCAGTGGCGCTTTGTATTTTCCCATATGTTGCTTCTCAATAAAGGTTTTCCAAACACTATCCAATAAAAAATTTGCCACGTCATCAGATATAGTTAATCATCATGTTTGTGTGTATATATAGTTGCTAGAGATACCAAAATTACCTCTGGATAATATCTATCATATCTTGGTAGTCTTGTTGTGGTTTTCTCGTCGAGTCATAGATTATCAAGTGACTTTTCACCAGATCGATGTCCATCAATATCCAGTGATTGCTGCATGTGTTTATAGGATATAACGCATAATACTCATTAATTAACTAGAATCAACATATGAGCCATTAAGGATGATCGACATTATTAACACTCACTTGAAGTTGTAGGAAAAGAGTATATCCTTCTTGTGACGTTGGTTCACTAAGAAGTTCATGAGGTTACTCTCTGACTCAGACTTCCAATTAGGCTTTGGAGTAACTGGGTCTTTGAATACTATATGGGGATCAACAAAACTAATTTCATTGCAACCTTCCTTTCTGTGCTCTGTCATTGTAAATCTGCATATATATAGTACTTGTTAGGATAATTTATATGCATATACACACATATGATGAGTTTAATAATAGATCGAAAGAATTATTACTTACAGGCAATAGCAGCTAATGATAACTTTGTCCAGAGAGGTCAGGTGGCATAGTTGATGAAATTCTGCAAAGTGAACATACATAACATCATCGCCACGGAACCAATGTTCGTCTCTAATTCTGACACCAACGCAGAAGTCTCCACCGGTAGACG